AAGTTAAAGCAATATTTAGTATGATGATCAAACAGGAACAATAGTAATAATAAACAATAGCAATATTACTGTAGTAATGATAAATTTGAATAAAAATTATTTATTTTTCATTCAGTTTAATAATACCCCATTCAGACTAGCATCACATTGCGATCGGTTGTAGCAATTGCGACACCCAATCGCAAAGTAAAATCGTGTGTGAAAGCTCACCAGTATTAGTGGATATTTAATCGATATCACAATTGTTACCCGTTTCGATTGGGTGCTACAATCTTTATTACTCCCGATTACCACGGAATCTGATCACAACGAATCATAACGAATTCCACAGGCACTGTTTGGCTGAGGTCAGGCAACATAGGCCTAGACACCAGAGGCCTAGGCCCTAGAATGTAAAGTTTGTTTGTGTTGGTCTGAATGTGTTCGTTGATTGTGATCGGAGTAATCAGTTTTGGATTACCACCGATTACATCGCAACTGATCGCAAGAGAGTGTAGTCTGAATAGGGTATTAGTGTCATTACCATCGTAATAATGCAATAATGGTGTACTAAATGTTAATGGTAATAAAAATAATAATAGTTTTATAAAATTAATTTAAAAAATGTAAAAAGTTAATAATAATAATAATAATAACAATAATAATGGTAATAATAGCAATAAAATAGTGGCAGCAATAAAAATAGCATTAAAGCAATAATACTTAGTATCTAAACAACTGTCATAGTTAATAAAATTAGTATAATGGTCAAACAGGAACAAAAGCAATAATTAACATAGCAATACAGCAATATTACTGTAATTATAAATTTAAATAAAAATATTTTTTTTCAAGCATTGTAGCATTCAGTCTAATTATGATTTTTGAGGTAAAACCACTAGTTGAAGGCAACCAATCAACCAGTGGTTTTACTTCAAAAACCATATTTTTACACATGGTGTACCGGAGGTTTTATGATTTTGTTATTATACTCGCCATGCAAACCTTCAGAAAATATTTTTTTATTGTTACTGTTAGTGCTACCACTACTACAATATTAATAAAGCTGCAACTGCGATACTGCTACTTCAAGTTCCACCGTCACTGCTACTGCTACTATTATACGTCTAGTGCTACCTGTTAGTGTTCATATATTGTTACGATTACCTGTTGAACGTTGTGATGTGGTTGTATCTATTATACTTGGTGTCACATCATCTGTTACTACCGGTGTGGTTGTACCCATTATACGTGTTGTCACATCATCTGTTGCTACCGGTGTGGTTGTACCCGTTATACGTGTTGTCACATCATCTGTTACTACCGGTGTGGTTGTATCCGTTATACGTGTTGTCACATCATCTGTTGCTACCGGTGTGGTTGTACCCGTTATACGTGTTGTCACATCATCTGTTACTACCGGTGTGGTTGTATCCGTTGTATGTGTTGTCACATCATCTGTTACTACCGGTGTGGTTGTACCCACTATACGTGTTGTCACATCATCTGTTACTACCGGTGTGGTTCTATCCGTTATACGTGTCGTCACATCATCTGTTACTACTGTTGTGGTTGTATCTGTTATACGTGTTGTCACATCATCTGTTGCTACCGGTGTGGTTGTATCCGTTATATGCATTGTCACATCATCTGTTACTACCGGTGTGGTTGTACCCGTTAAACGTGTTGTCACATCATCTGTTACTACCGGTGTGGTTGTATCCGTTGTACGTGTTGTCACATCATCTGTTATTACCGGTGTGGTTCTATCCGTTATACGTGTCGTCACATCATCTGTTACTACTGTTGTGGTTGTATTTGTTATACGTGTTGTCACATCATCTGTTGCTACCGGTGTGGTTGTACCCGTTAAACGTGTTGTCACATCATCTGTTACTACCGGTGTGGTTGTATCCGTTATATGCGTTGTCACATCATCTGTTACTAGCGGTGTGTTTGTACCCACTATACGTGTTGTCACATCATCTGTTACTACCGGTGTGGTTGTATTCGTTATACGTTTTGTCACATCATCCGTTACAACCGGTGAGATTGTACCTGTTATACGTGTTGTCACATCATCTGTTACTACCGGTATGGTTGTACCCGTTATACGTGTTGTCACATCATCTGTTACTACTGTTGTGGTTGTATCCGTTATACGTATTGTCACATCATCTGTTGCTACCGGTGTGGTTGTACCCGTTAAACGTGTTGTCACATCATCTGTTACTACCGGTGTGGTTGTATCTGTTATATGCGTTGTCACATCATCTGTTACTACCGGTGTGTTTGTACCCGCTATACGTGTTGTCACATCATCTGTTACTACCGGTGTGGTTGTATTCGTTATACGTTTTGTCACATCATCTGTTACAACCGGTGAGATTGTACCTGTTATACGTGTTGTCACATCATCTGTTGCTACCGGTGTGGTTGTACCCGTTATACGTGTTGTCACATCATCTGTTACTACTGTTGTGGTTGTATCCGTTATACGTGTTGTCACATCATCTGTTGCTACCGGTGTGGTTGTACCCGTTAAACGTGTTGTCACATCATCTGTTACTACCGGTGTGGTTGTATCCGTTGTATGTGTTGTCACATCATCTGTTACTACCGGTGTGGTTGTACCCGTTATACGTGTTGTCACATCATCTGTTACTACCGTTGTGGTTGTACCCGTTATACGTGTTGTCACATCATCTGTTACTACTGGTGTGGTTGTATCTGTTATACGTGTTGTCACATCATCCATTGCTACCGGTGTGGTTGTACCCGTTAAACGTGTTGTCACATCATCTGTTACTACCGGTGTGGTTGTATCCGTTGTATGTGTTGTCACATCATCTGCTACTACTGTTGTGGTTGTATCTGCTATACGTGTTGTCACATCACCTGTTACTACCGGTGTTGTTGTACCCGTTATACGTATTGTCACATCATCTGTTACTACCGGTGTGGTTGTACCCGTTATATGTGTTGTCACATCATCTGTTACTACCGTTGTGGTTGTACCCGCTATACGTGTTGTCACATCATCTGTTACTGCCGGTGTGGTTGTATCCGTTATACGTGTTGTCACATCATCTGTTACTACTGTTGTGGTTGTATCTGTTATACGTGTTGTCACATCATCTGTTACTACCGTTGTGGTTGTATCTGTTATATGTGTTGTCACATCATCTGTTACTACCGGTGTGGTTGTATCCGTTATACGTGTTGTCACATCATCTGTTACTACTGTTGTGGTTGTATCTGTTATACGTGTTGTCACACCATCTGTTACTACCGGTGTGGTTGTACCTGTTATACGTGTTGTCACATCATCTGTTGCTACCGGTGTGGTTGTATCCGTTATATGCGTTGTCACATCATCTGTTACTACCGGTGTGGTTGTATCCGTTATACGTGTTGTCACATCATCTGTTACTACTGTTGTGGTTGTATCTGTTATACGTGTTGTCACATCATCTGTTGCTACTGGTGTGGTTGTACCCGTTAAACGTGTTGTCACATTATCTGTTGCTACTGGTGTGGTTGTACCCGTTATACGTGTTGTCACATCATCTGTTACTACCGGTGTGGTTGTATCCGTTGTATGTGTTGTCACATCATCTGCTACTACTGTTGTGGTTGTATCTGCTATACGTGTTGTCACATCACCTGCTGTCTCTTATACACATCTAGATGTGTATAAGAGACAGCCATCAAGGAGTAAATAATGGGTTGTGGTTGTATCTGTTATACGTGTTGTCACATCATCTGTTGCTACTGGTGTGGTTGTACCCGTTAAACGTGTTGTCACATCATCTGTTGCTACTGGTGTGGTTGTACCCGTTATACGTGTTGTCACATCATCTGTTACTACCGGTGTGGTTGTATCCGTTATATGCGTTGTCACATCATCTGTTACTACCGGTGTGGTTGTACCCGCTATACGTGTTGTCACACCATCTGTTACTACCGGTGTGATTGTACCTATTATACGTGTTGTCACATCATCTGTTACTACCGTTGTGACTGTATCTATTGTACCTGTCACATCTACTGTAAATATAATTTATTATTTATATCAAGCTTTGCTATTATTCATTTAAAAGCAGAGTTGATTTTGAATTTTTATTCGTAATGGTTACGAATTTATACTGTAGTATTTTTCATTTGGGAAACAATTTGCTTGTTTCTCCATGTCCTCCTTCTTTTTGATAGGCCCTATCGCTGTGTTCTCGGACATATAGAGATTAACATGATAAAATGCCTTCAAATTAGTCTACTAGGACGTAAGAGAGCAAATTTTTCCGGCGCCTTCGGCCCCTGGACCCCGACCGGGGGCCCACTGGCACCCCCCATTCAAAAAGCTGGATACGGGCCTGACTGTATGGTAATTACCTTTTTATTGTAGTAAACAGAGTAGAAATAATTTATTGAATGAATGAATATAATTTATTACAAAAGAAAGGAATGCATGTGCAGCAAAAAGGAAATGAGAACATTTATTACGTATTTGAGGGATTCTGTAAGGCAAATTCAAATTAGAAAGTTGGCATGTATTGGTTTATCCAGTTAAATAATCATGAAACGGAGGTACTGTATGTGCCATATACAAGACCACTGCCATGATACGATATAAGCCTACCTGACGGAATTACTAGTCTACTGCAAGATTAGAAACGTAAACACATAATGTAAAGACTTTGTATAATTAAAACTTTCTATACTTTTATATCTAAAGGACTTTTCTTTGTATTCTCTGTCCTTACCTGTTACAATTTCTGTAACTGAAATATTTGATGGATCAACATTCAATGGCACGCCTTCACTGCTAACTAAACCGTTTGCTGCTGCCATTTTCAATTCTTCTTCAACATCTAGAGCAGATACACTTGTGTCTGCAACAAACTGGACTTCTACATCAGCAATGATACTTCCTGGTGAAAATGCTAACACTCTACAGGTAGAGCCATTAAGCGCAGCTTCGATCTAAGAAAATAAACATAAAGATAATGATAAAATATTAGCAGGAAGGTTCCTCACCGTACCTTACAGTAATAGTCATACAGGTAATAATCATAACCATAATAACAATAACAACAATAACTAAGAGCAGTCACTCCATAAGGTGCATAAATCTCCCCTGTGCCTGTAAATGAGTGATCTTTCTTTTTATGGCCGAGTTCAAACAGAGAAAATCAAATTTTCATGAACTTGACCTTGTCTTTGACCTTTACGTTCCAACAATTGAATCTCTTTTTTAGCTTATTATGCAATATTCCCCTTAATTTTATGATGAACAGACAGACAGCGCAACAGACATTCCAGAGACCTGTACATCATGTACTGTACACATTTACCATTTATACACAAAAAACATTAACGTTTAAAAAACTGTAAAGTACATGCACTGACGTAATGTCACGGTTCCTACTATGTTACACTTCACTTACAGCAGAGCATAATTGTCCTGAAATCATGATGAATCTGTCTGAAGTTGGATCATCGAGGTCATTAGAATAATCAACTGGATTTCCATCAATAGCATCAATGGATAGCGTGACTTGATAGGACACTATGGTAGAAAAGATCAATATAAACACAATTTTAATGACACGGTTTGCACTGAGTTCACAACCAAAGGAATATGAATACCAATTTTCGTAAGAATACAATGTTCGTAGATTATAAACTCCTAAGGTGACTGCACAAATCTGGAAGAATCATACCTTATCCCAAGGGTGGGCAAAAAAATCGATCGGAGGGCCAAAGTGAATTTTTGATTTAACACCGAGGGCCGCACCCAAACCTTGATGTTCCAGTGAGCTTCCAAATACCTCCAAGCACTGCTTTCACATCACTTTATTTTTAGTTTTAATGTTACTTTTTACATATGATTGGTATCAGGCCGTAAAAAACAAGGTGTTTTCTAGCCAATTTTGATTGGCGGGCCGCAAACATAGGGTTTTAAATTGTTGCGGGCCGCAGAAAAATCGCTGACGGGCTGCATGCGGCCCACTTTGCCCACCTGTGCCTTAACCCCATCCTTCTTTTGTATTCCTTAAACTTATTAATATTTGGCCAAATGCTTTTATAATATAAAGTGTAATTTGTCTTTTAATTACCAAGAAGTTAAAACTAATGACGTGTGTCTTTCTAAGATTATAGTTAAAGATATATCAACTATGCCATTCACCATAAATCCTTTAGAATATATAGTCTTCTGGGCACTACTTTTTATTGTGCTTCACAAACATGGAATATAAAGGACAGTCTTGAATGCCAAGAATGCCTTTTCGCGAATTTATAAAAACTGGAAGAATAATAAAGTACAAGGCAAGAATTAGTATGATGTTTGAAATGGTCAGGTAGGAAGTTCAGTTATGTTATTTTAGTAAACTCTATATTTGTATTCATCAATTGCTTTTGGAATGCATTTTATCTGTTGTTTTGCTGTAAGGCTAATGTCCTGTCCAGACTATTAGAGGGGTTAAGACGGAGGTCATGTCTAGTAAAAAATGGGAGACTATTATGAATATACATGGCTACTCCACCACCGTCTTTATGTGTTCTATGGTGGGAGACAAAATTATAATTGGGGAGCTGTATT